CGACTCAGCAAATACCCCATATCTCCGTGTGTGTGTGTGCGGTCGTGGTTTGTTTGTCATCACGACGCGTTGCTTTTTCAATCAGTGCTTTGGAAAGCATGTACCGGCCGCCCCACTGTGGTGACTCTGTTGCAAGGAAGTGCAGTCGTGATTGGCCCAGACGCTCTGTTTGCGGGAAGTGTGGATGGTTGAAACCGAACCTACGTTCGTGCACATGATTGGCTGCCGGAAGCGTGCCCACAGCCGTGCTTGGCCGGTTTTGTAGAATCAGCGAAGGTATGCGCAGCTGATCGTGCCTATGGGTTCCTTGTTGAAAGACAGCCGAGTGTGACTGTCGTGGCTGCCTGGTCTGGCTGTGTGCTACCGCTGCTGGGTGAGTCAGCCGAGGTCCTTCCAAGCACTGCTGGACGGGATGTGATCGAAAAGCTGGTGAGGCGGGGCTGCACGTTGCCCGTAGGCCGGTAGGCCTTGCCGAGCTTGTTGACCATCAGGCTTGGCGGGGGCGACGTGCTGTGGCCGCAAGGCCGTCACCGAAAAGCCGCACTTCCCCGTTTCCTGAGAAGCGCTCAGAACCAGGCCGCCAGTCGAGATCGGTGGTGCCTTTTTGCAGGCTCGGGACGCTTCACAAAGCCGCATGAAGCCGTGCAAGCCGCAGTTTCAGCTCGAAGCGAGGCTCATCCATTTGGCTGGGGCATCCAAGAGATTTGCATGTAGCGATGCTGTCGACGGTCATCGGCTCAGCCCAGCTTAGGGCTTAGACGTGCTTTATGCTCCACCTTGCACCAAGAAGAGCCGCGAGGAAGCCCGAAATCTCCGAACATCGCAGATGCCAGGCACATCTTGAAGCGAGCAACGAGGGCGTAAGAGTCTGCAGTTTCTCCTGAGCTGGATGAGGGAGCGGACGTCGCAGGAGCTGGTGCGGGACCCCACGTGGATGACTGCACGGTGGCTTTGCATGGCTTCTGAGAGCTTAGGACGGTGCTGCTCCGGCTGCCTCCGACGAATTGCTGAGGCTCCCTCTGGGAGTGGCGACTTGCAAGAGTCTCTGTCACGTTGCAGGAAGCAAGCTCTGATGGCAGTGCTTGGTGCAACTCCCGCCGTTGCGGTGTTTGCGCATGTCGGGGACCTAAGTCATTCTCAGCTGTTTAGTGTTCTCCTGTGTCATGCGCAGTTCATCAGCTTTGGAGCCGGGCTTGGTGAGCCAAGCGAATCCGAGGAGAAAGGAAAGCCAGAAGCCGCAGAGCCGGAGCCAGCGGGGTCAGAGCCGGAGCGGCCGGAGCCGCACCCGCCGGAGGCTGGCAGCACTCGGCTTCAGACGTTGCCGCAGTCAGCCCTTCTTCCGTTTGGCGAAAGGAAGGGATCCGACCGATCCCGGCATGTGCCGGGGAGTTTCAGGCGGCCTTGCCGTACAGCCCTTAGAAGCAGAGCGCTGAACACCGGTGCCGGAGGTTCGTGTGCGATGCTTATTGTGCAAACGGTCTTTCCGATTGCCGAATTGGCGGCTGTAAGCGACATTGGTTGCCGTCGCCTCCACCTGAAAAGCCTGCGTGGCCTCCTGCCACTGCAGCTACCATGTAGTGTACTCACGCCAGGGGCACCATGGGACGCAGAACAGGAAGCGCTTTGATCTGCTCTCTGTCGCATCTGCAGATCCCGAGGTCTGCGGCTGTGGGAGGGAGCCTCCCTTCGGAGATCCGGTTCCTCCATCTCAGCGTGCTCCAGGCGACGATTGCCACCGGATTCAATCGGGGTGTCCTTAGGGCCTGGCGGTTTTAGGGCTTAGGGCTTTATGGTTAAGGATTGCTGGGTCTAGAGGCTTAGGCCTTGGGGTTTTCGTTGAGGGTTCTCGATTGAACTTGGATGCAGGATTTGGCCCATTGGGCACCAGTTGCATGGATCACCTGGCTTCGCATCTGCCTTGAGGAGGGAGTGAAAGTATAAGAAGTGACGATGGGTTCGGCATGAATATTTGAGACTTCTGAACAACGCAACTATCTACATCTCATTCATTAGGCTGCTGGCCCCTGTCTCTATCTGTGAAGCTCGCAAGAAATAGGAGCCTAGCGATGCACCCATGACGAAAGAATCCCTCCTCGGTCTCATGGAACTGGATTATTAGCAAGCAACGAGCTGCACGGACACCCACTGCACCTTGAATCTCGTTACTACGGAATGTGTTGTGGGCTGCAGCCGGAGTTGGACAAAGCTACCAGCAATTTTGCATGGTTTCTTCAACTATGGCGAAGCAGGTTTGTAGCAAGGATGATTCAAGAGCCTCGTCAAAAGCTGGCGAAGTCCCTAAACGCGAGATGCACCGCACCCTTTCGGAGAGACAGATTGGGTTTTCAAGTGAGGGGCGCCAACGTAGAAGCATCTATAGTCCCCAAAACTCGATGCAAGATGATGGTGGGTTGTTCCCGCCTCGCCCTTGCTTTTCCGATTCGCGAAGGAGGTTACAGATTCGCACGGCGAAGCTCCCGCCTTGATCCTGGCAGCCTGGAGCTCGGGCGCAGTGCGAGTATGAGGAGTGCAAAAGAAAGAGAGAGCGAAGGGGAAGGGGGCCTTTGCGTGTTTTCTGTGTGAGCAGAGAGGTCATGAAGTTGCTGGGAGAGGCCAGGCCTGGCTGGCGCTTGGAGCCGACACACACAGACAGAGCTCGGTTTCTTTAGTAGCGACACCAGGAAGAGATCTGGCAGAGATTTACAGCCCTGGATGCCTTCTGCGATGGCCTGCTGCTGGCGGCTCAGAGCCAGAGAGAGCTTCAGAGAATTCTAGAAGAGAACTTCCAAATGCACCGGAAAGCAGGTCGCAGTGGGAGCCGCCTTGGGTCTCGGAGGAGTTGGAGGCCTTGTGAACAAACTCCATGGCCTGTCCTGGCAAAGTCCGCCTTTCAAGACAAATCGCTTAAAAGCAGACGCTTGCGGAGGGCGAAGACCGCCGCGCTGCGCGGCAGATGAGCTTAGAGCGACTTGAAAGGGAAGAGGAGTCCAGGGTCCAGGATTGGGCGCGAGGCCCAGAGAGCTTTGGGTTGGGGGCCTCTTTGAGGGGGTTTACTAGAGACTTCGAGCGGAGCTTTTTCAGTGAGGCCATGGCCTTGGATGGCTTCCTCTCCTTCGTGGCGAACCTGGCTGTGGCAGCGCGGGTCCAGCACGCCTTCGAGGCTGAGGCGAGGATGTTTGCTCGGAGGAGTCAGATGTGTCATTAGGATTCAAGACATGATTCGAAGTGGAGCATCAGCCGCCAGCAGTTCGGACGACAGGTCTGCGCCCCTCAGGCGGTGGCAGCAGGCATGCAGCAGAGATCATCTTGCTGGTGTAGGAATAGCTGTAGCCTGGGCCTGCGACAAGGTGAAGGGTGCAAAGGCACGGATGCTGCGCCCCTTGGTAACTCATGCCACTATTAAGATCACTCGGTCAGTACAGGTGCCATGAGGTGCCAAGACCGCTGCCGCTGACAGCATGTATCAGTCGTACTCGCATTAGCAGCATGGTACCTGTGTCAGTGGCAGCAGCAGCAGGACAAGGAAGAGTGGCAGTCAATAAAGAAGGAGCTGCAATGAGGGTAGAAGCAGGAGGTAGCGGCAGATGTGGGGGTCGCGAAGAGGACGAGGTGTAAGCAGAATTGTAGCACTTGAGTGCGGTTCCGCTTAAGACTCCGGGTCCCTGCGTAGGGCGGGAATCTGCAGAGGAAGTCAAGAGTCCCGAAGTCCAAGTCGGAGTCGCAAGGCCCCCCACAAGGCCCTCCGAACGACGAGCTCTTGAGCTGCATCGGAAGACGTTCAGGTCCTCAGGCGCGTCCCCGGTCTCGGTCAGGAGCCCAGACCCCCCCCTTTTGCTGCTCCAGGGGGAGAGAGTAGAGGCTTGTCTTTTTCAGGTCGCGGTGCCCGTCGTGGTCGTTCCGGAGGTTTTGACCGACTGGCATTTGGAAGGTCGGCCTGTGAATGAGTGCGAAGGCTTTCTCCGCCGCAAGTACTTGAAGTGATGCTAGTTGCCTCTCAGTCTTTGGACCCCTGTTGCGGGCTTTCAAAATCTTCATGCTCTCCGAGAAGGCTCGGAGACGCCGTCGGTGGTCGTCTTTGTCCTCGCTGTTGGTAGCAGGCTTGGCGAGCAGATTTTCACGGAGCCAGCAGCGTGCCCTTCTCCGTGGAGGCCCGTCAGGGCGGTCGAGAGCCGACACTCTTGTCATCTGTTGTCATAATTTTCGCATTCTTTCGCTTGGAAGATCTTGGAAGGCGAGCTCCAAGATGTGCTCTGAGAGTGCCTAGCCTGGGACGATTCTGTCGGCAAGGCTCATCTGTACAGCCTCGAATGGGTCATGCGGGAGCTTGCGCAAAAAAGCGGCGGATGCGTAGGCACCTGCGGCTTCCCGCGGTTCCCATCTCATGGGTCAAGCCTCTCGTCAGATCCTGTCGGACAGTGTCCAGTGCCATGCCTTGTCTCGAGTTCCAGCCAACCACCAAACACCAAACCACGACGCAGCACAGCATTCTTCTGAGCGTGATCCCGCTCTCAGGAAAGCCTTGCAACCGCAACAGACCCGACATTGGCAACAAGCTCGTGATGGGCAGATGGGCCCAGGAAGGACGCCAAACGTATTCGGCGGGGAAAAATACAGGCTCACGGGGCTGGTTGGGAGCATCTTTTTGTCGGTCACTGTGGGCACTCCGGGCCGACATATTGCGCTTATTTGGCAAAGGCCGGCTCGAGCTTTCTCTGCCTGCACTTGAGTTGGGTTTGTCCCTTTTCAGCAAGTTTGAAAAAGGAATCGATGTGTCGGGGGATGGAATTCGATGTTCTTCGGGAACTTTCCTGCATGGTGAATGCATGGTGACATGTACTCGTATATGCAGCCAGAGCAGTTGAAACAGGTGGCAGATTCTTTCGCGTTCCTGTGCATAGCGTTTGCGCGGGATTTCGGCCTATGGCAGGTGCTGGCCTGAAGCTCGGACACGCCTGAGACGCCCTCATCAATAGTGAGGCTTTGCTTGTGTTCTCGTTGAGAAGGTCGTGGAGCGCAGCGCGGAGCCACCAGATCCTTCAGGCTCCTTTTCAGGGGCCGCTACTGTATGTTTGGTCTGGCTAGCCAAACTCCCTGATGCAGGCTGTCTCTCGGTTTTCTCCAGAGACACATGTTGACCTTCCTCCTCTCACGGTAGACTGGACAAGACCCGAAGCGTTTGGCTACAGCGTATGCAGCACCTGGCATGGCCCGCCTGTGACAAGGTGTGATGCTCTTGACGGCTCAGCATCAAATGCAGTCTGAGAGCATTTTCCGGTCACCCAGCGTCCCCCGCTCCCGGACCAGAAGTAAGCGAAGACCGAAGAAGACCAGGCGAAGAGGCCACAAGCAGAAGCAGAAGCAGAGAAGCAGCTCAAGCAGAGGGACCAACTGCACCAAATCGGCAACTGAAGAGCAGCTGCGAAGCAGCTCAGGCAGCCGCTCTAGCATGAGACTCCGAAGGAACACAATGGCCCAGAATGGCTTGGTTCAGCCTCCAGGCAGCAAAAACAGAATAGCCAGCAAGACTAGAAGTCGCGACAGCTTCGGACGGCATGTTCAAAGCGGCTCTCGCAGCCCGCGTAGAAAGAGCCGCAGAAGAGGCAAAGAGGAACGTGTGAGCAGTTCAGAAACGGAGGGCAGCAAGAAGCCTAGTTCCAGCAGCACCGCTCACACAGAGACCAACGAGGTGGAACGGTCATCTTCATGTTTTCCAGCTTCACCGATATCACCAACTTCGCCAGCGCAGGATAAGCCAGATCTCGGTTGGAAGGAAGCACTGATGGCCGCGCAGTCATCATTGGCATCAAGCCATGCCATGCTGCTTCAGCTGATTGAGTGCAGTGCTCAAGCGATACCGGGAACGACTTCGAAACGGCCTGCGGTTTGTGTGAGCCCGAACCATGCTCGCAATCCAGTTCCGCACAATGGGTGGTTTGTGAAGCAGAAAGCTCGCCCGTTGGCCAGGTTGGAAGTCCCAAAGGCACATCCTGCTTTGCCATCGCTTTTTTCTGCTTTGCCCGACGCCGCAGAGGGCGTTTGGCCAGCGTCGCTGCCGATCCCTCCCGCTGTGTCACTTGCACCACCTGCTCCGATCCGCTGCCAGCAGACGCTGCCACAGCCGCCACCCCCGCCACCACTACCCCCACCACCCCCACCAGCCCCACCCCGCCCACCTCAACCAGAGGCCACATCAGCCCTGCCTGTAGCGCAGCCAACAGCGCCGCACGTGCCCAAAACACCTGCTTTGTCTGCCTTTGAACTGTTGCGCTGGACATTTCCGACTAGGGCATACCAGGTCGACGATGCTGATGAGGAGCTTGTGAAGGAGAAGGGCAGTGGCTTTTCTACGGACATGTCATCCGACGAGGCGGTTTCTATGGCATTGCCACATGGAGCTGCAATTGCAACTGAGAACATGACGGCTGACGTCGCCACCACTCCAGAGCTGCGGCCAGCGCCGACAATTGGAGTCGGTCGAGTGGCACGGGCGTTGCATGCACACCTCACTAGAGTTATCGGAGTTTGCGTGAACTTTTGCTTGAAGTAGATCAAGCTACCCAGTCCTGCCTACATCTGCTTAGCAGAGTAGGCATTGTGCAGCCCGCACTTGAATTCTTGATCACCTTTGCGTGGAATTGGCTGGCATGTTTTCCTCCTATGCCGGCCCCAGATCCTGTAGAGCGTTGTCACATCAGCCGCCTACGAACGCGGCCGTGAATCCACCCTCACCGAGCTTTCGAAGCGAAGCATCTTGGCCATTGCTAGTTGTGGCGTCCTTTCAATTAGGGCAGTACCCGCAGGATATCCGTGCTTCGACATGTCATGTTGCCCGCAATCCGGACAGTTGTACATTGTCATAACCACTTGCTGCATGCACGTATTGTGTCGTCGGGAGTATGCGGAGGCCCTGCAGCATGTTTTTCAAGCCACCAGGCCGGGAACGCGTAAAACCAAGCACGAGGAGCTGTAGTTACTGCAATTCATCCAGACATTGTTTGAACTTTGGGAAGATCACTGGTGACGAGGCGCCGGAGGAGCTTCGAGAAGCGCAGCAGTGCCAAGGCCTTAGCGACCATTGTGTCTGAGCCCTGCAGCAAACCCTAAACTGCCCTAGACCCTAAACTTGAACCCCAGCTTCCACAAACCTCGTCTTGGCGGCATTCCGCTGTGCTTGTCCAGCTGTCGCCACTCCTCCAGTTACGAGGTGCTTGCTTGTTCGGAATTGCTTCAGTGAAGCTTGCATCGTCCGGAAGTAGCTCCTGCCTGCAGTCGCGGCAATACTTGGTCTGTGTGTTTGCACCTGTCATTGACAAGGGTCGTCGCACTTTGCCCGTCCGTCTGTTTGAGCCTTAACCCTTCCAAGCCGCAACATTAGAAACCTGAAGGTTATTGGGCTTGGACTGTGTGTTGGGCTGGAGGAGATGCTGGGCCGGCCGACGCCGCGAAGGCGGAAAGCTGCAGCGATGACAGGAAGTCGATGCTCCAAGTGTCTTTTGGCCCGCAGGCCGACCCTTGTCGAATGCCACGCGGAAGCTCGGGCAGATGCCGCACGCGGCACCTGCACCGAACAGCAGGCCGGTTGCGGCTTTCACTGTGTCGTGTCGAGTGCGCTTGGCCTTGTGCCACAAGGCGCTTCGAAGAAAGCCGTGTGCAGGAGGACGTGCAGGCCGCGCATGTCTCCCCGCTGCACTGAGAGCTCTTGCCAATCTTGCAGAGGTGGGGGTGTATTCTGACCCGGTCCTTGGAGATGACTTTCAAGGCGTCCGATGCTTACAGCTGCTACCCTATGGCTACCGAACCGAGCCTGGAAACGGGCTGCGACACATGGAATGTCCGGCAATGCAGATCTGACCTTTTTCGGGGATAGTTGCAAGTTCATCGCCCTCTTACTTGCGAAGCCTCTGGGTGCCGTCCGCTTGGACGTGCTGGCAAATTAGGTGCACCACAGTGATTGACGACGTGGGCATTTTCTCAGCAAGTTAGGCCTGGTACTCAAGTCGAAGCGGAAGAGCAAGACATGACTTGCGTAGGCGTCCCGCTAGGTCCCGTGGTGGTGTCCCCGGTGCACACTGCCATCAAGCAGTGGTCGAGGAAGCAGACAGGGTTGAAGTAAGTTTGTTGGGGCAGTTTCAGTTTGGTGGAGCCTTTCTTCAAAAGCACATGCACCAATAACCAATATGAAGGAGTGCTCACTGAATTCTCTCACCTCGCTTGAGGCAGAGAGCAGGCAGCGGGTGCAAACAGTGCAGACAGACCATGGATACGTGGTGATGCCTGAGCATACCTCGCAGCAGTTTTGCAAGCGCTCAGCACCTCGAGAATCAGTGAAGCATGAGTGTTCCTATGAGACTTCAGTTGCTGCCGCTGCTGTTGGGCCTGACCTGGTCGAAGGAGAGTGCACACAGCCCTCGCATGCAAGAGACGAGAAGCTTGAACACGTGATCAGTGCCATGTACTTGAAAAGCTCTGATAACTTGATGAATTTTGCCTTTCTGTCTTTGTGCTCACTGGAACAGGGCTCTTAAATTGTATATGAACTGAAATGAACATACGTTTTCAAAGGGCAGAGGGGAACGTTTCGTTGGAATCCAGCACTCATTGCAACCGCAAAGGCAGCCTGTTTTAGCCAACAAACCTGCGAGAGGCTGCTTGGCTCTGATTGTGCAGCATTGGGCGATGTAGCAACTTGAGCGCAAAGAGCTTCATGCCATCATGTGCGCATCCATCTTCTGTAAGTTTTAGGAAGCTACAAGTAGCTGGCTAACTTACATTCTCTACTCAGTGAACTCATCCAAGATATCCATGCTGCCCAGCGAACTTTCAAGAAAACGTGAAGTGGCATGGTTTGTGAGGGTAGAACGTATGCATAACGTACGCTCTCTGTTGCTTTTCAGGCTTGGAGCGCAAGGTCTTTCAGAGTGCCTGAGGAATTTGGCGAGTAGGTCGGGGTCTTGCTGGCGGGGTGGGGAGGGTTTCAGAAGCGGCACAAGTACTAAGTATTTGATGCTCTTGAAATGCGATAGGACTGTGCTGAGCCAGATCTGGAGCATTGGCGCAGCCAACTTCGGGACGCTGATGTGGTCGACTTGCTGCCTGGCACTATGGTCTTTTTTCATCAAGCTTTTGAACATCGTAGTTGATGTTCGTCAGGTGTGCCAGAGTTTTGGAGCTTCAGTTTTCTGACCTTACATAGTCAATCCCGGGCACTCCCAGCACTCCCTCCCCGCCTTCGGAAGGTTGGGGCACCTTGAGCAGGGCCAGGATGATCTGTGCGTCATGGATGCTGCCGCCGGGCGGCTGAAGGTCCTTTGGGAGCATTCTGTGGTCGGCTTCGAGAAGGCCCCAGGCGATGGAGTGATGACTGTGGAGCTCCCCGAAGGCCAAGGCAGCTGCCTTCTGTGCACTCAGCCTGGCAAGCAAGAGGCCTGTTCGGCCTCGGCCGTCGGCACGACAAGTTGCAAGGAGGTCTTGAAGGGCGGGCTTTCGAAGTCCAGATTCCCCTGGAGTTGGGATGGCGTCAAGTGCACCAGCTGCAAAGCCGCTCTGGTCACCGTTGCTGGGGGTGCACAGGTGATTCTCGATGCCTCAGGGGAGGGTGAAGCTCAAGCTGTGACGCTGCTTAGTACCGCGGCAGTCCTGAAAGCAGCTGCAGCCGCATCTGGCAAGTCGCTCGGGGAAGCGGCGCTGAGGAACCGAGTAGCCATGGGTGCATTGACGTCGCTTGCCGTGGTGATGTCTGTGGCGCTGAATAAAGTCGGTGTGCTTCCCATGTCGCCAGATGAGGCACAGCCGTGCTTCGTGGACTGGATGCTGGACAACTTGGAAATGGTCTTTTTGACTGCAGGCCAGGGCGTCCTTCCGGGGCTTGCCGCGCTGGTCGCTGACTGGAAGTGTTGCTCATCCGACCGCTACCGGAAAAACTGTGGACGCAACCGCAGAGATGATGATCCTGAACCCCCATGGACGACGACACCCGAGCCTTCGCAGATCGTTCAGCGTCTAAGTGAGGCTGTGGAAGCAGGAGAGGCCATGGCTCAGAACACGCTGAAAGAGTTGGCGAACTTCAGGGCCACACGCGCCTTCGCAGCCGCAGGGGCCTTCGCTTCGCCTGATTGGAAGCAGTTGGACAGGGTTCACTGGAAGGAGATCACGGACCAGAAGTTTGGCGCCTTTTGTGCCAAGGATGCCGCCCCGAAGGTGGCAAACACGGCCCAGCAGAAGAGAACTCAGCAGGAGAACGAGCTAGACTGGCAGGTCTGTTGGTGTGCGCAATTTTGCCAAACGTGGTTGGCCTCCAGCACTCCTCCCGGCTCTGCCAGGGCATGCTATGAAACACTCCAAGGCAGCAACGAAAGAATCGTGTGTTCCGGCGCATGGTGGGAGGAGCTGCGCAAGCAACACGGCCAGCCTGTGGAGAAGACGTATGAGCCACTGATGTACAAGGCGCCTCCCTATGGCGGTTTCAAGATCCAAGCGCCTCCTGGGGTCAAGGTCTTGTTGAGTTTTGGAGGCCGTACGAAGAACTTTTACGACCAACCCTCAGCGAGCGACATTGGACTGGAACGTGCCAGGCGCCTGAAAGCACTGCTCACGCAGAAGTACGATACAACCTTGAACCCAAACTTCGTGTACATTGATGCCGACGCACTGGACAACATGGATGGCAAGTATACGAATGCGAATGGCAGGACGCTCAACGTGTACTGGGAGCAGTACTACAAGGATGCGATGCACAACGCTCGACTTATCATTTTCCTTGTGGACAAAGCCTGGCTCTTGAGTCGCAATTGTTTCGAGGAGCTTGCGTGGGCTCAAGGGAAGCAGCTGTGCACCAAGCACAACGAGTGGCCTTACAGGCTTGACATGTGCGACTATGAGGAAAGGGAGTTCGAGAGCAAGCCCTTTGTGGATGCTCCAGCGCCACTTCGCATCGTTGCTTTCTTGGGTCAGGAGGCCTTAGAGCACAGGGGCGGTGCGGGCAGAACTTGCCCCCAGCATTCCCTGCAAGGCTATGGCGACACAAGTGGGCAGTGCATGTCCATGGCTGGCTTTGAAGAGATGCCCTGCGACGAGTTGACTCATGATTATGACATTCAACTTCAGAATGTCATGGACCTTGTAGCGGCGAGGGAAGCAGAGTGGAATTCAAGAAGACTTACTACGATCATCTAGATCGGTAATTTGGACTGCTGTGGAGCTGGGTGAGGGGCCGAGGATTGCCACAAGTGCGGATCCCCTGCTTTTTCCTCAGGACCTTTAGTTCGAATTTTCCACGAACTCCCAGCTGACCACGTTTTGGCTTGTCCACCTTAAGCGCAAGCTCTCAAGCTTGCAATCCCTTCTGGTCACCTGCCCGACCACGACAGAATTTTCGATGTTGCTTCCCTGCAGCTTCCTCGGCCTCACTTATGACGGCATCGTGGCAAATCCAATGTGACGGAATTAAATGAAGCTGACATGCCAATGCTCATTTGCGAATGCATGCAGCGCGGCTTGCACGTGTAAACCCTGCGGACACGACAGCTCTGACAGGCAGCCTCATAGTCAAATCCTTCGCTCTCCTTGCGGTTTCAGACGCATACCTTCTGCTTTGCGTTGCTTTGCCTCAATCTGCATATGCCCGCGACTCGAAACGCGAAGGCCATTGGATCAGCGTCGTGTCGTTTGACGGCTGGCTGCCAAGTGACGAGCTGCAACTCACGACGCCGCAGCAGCCGCAGCACGCAGGAGATCTAGCTGCTGTCTTTCAGTTTCTTTCGCGGTTCGGTGGTTCATCTTGTCTCCAGCAAGATCTGAAGCGCCTGAAGGTTTCCTGCTTTTGCGGTGCTGTTTGGTGCAGTGTACTGAAATCATAAGGAGTAGTCCTCGAGGACTCCGGGTAAAGGGCTTTAGGCTTTAGGTTTCGCTGACAAGAGAAGCCGTCCTTGCGTGCCCTTGGCAAGGACATGGCTTCGCAGATGTTGGCCCGTGGAGCCTACAGGCCTGTTCACAAGCCGACACTTGCAAAAGCATGGGAGTTCTTGCAGCATTTTCCGCATCAGTACAGGACATCCGACGAATGCATCGTAGCTGAGAGGGAGCGCGGCGCATCCCACAGCACAATGCCCGAAGGCTCTCCCATCGGCACGGCAGGACCAAGAAGTCAACGGTGAGTGGGAGAGGCCGCACCTTCTGTTCACTACGGATTGCAAAAGACTGCAGGGCCTGTGGAAGTGAGGCGCCGCCTTTTTTTCAAGCAGATACAACGTAGCCACCGCAGAACAGCTGACATTTCTGAAAGCGCACTCACGCATGACTGTGGGGCCCGAAGCTGTGAAGTTTAAAGCTTGCCTTGCGACATGAGCCCAAGACCAGCCCAGAAGCTCCACCTTGCTACATCTCCCGATAAAAATACACGAATCTGCCTTTGGATTGACGCCTGACATGCAAGCGCCGCATTGGAAAGCTCCTGACATCACCAGCCCGCACCCCTCATCTCGTCTATGCGCCGGCATGTGCCATGGAAGTTGGTGCAGAGGGCGGATGCTCCTCCGAGCGGACGGGCGACGCGGATCCGCCAGTGAAGCTCCGATGTGAGAGCGAAGCCGCTGAGGACGAGAGCCTGAAGGGCGGGGGCCGGCTTGGCCTTGTGAGCCTCAGCAGCGTCCTGGGCGCCCTCGAGCGATTGGACGATCAGAGCGTGTCCCGCAGCCTGAAGCGCAAGCGATGTGCCGCAGCTCTGTTGCTGCTGAGCGTACCTGTGCTCAGCAGCATCGTAGCTTTCGGGGTGCAGCTGTCTGTAGCATTTAGCCACAGCTTCTCGAAACTGGGAAGCCTTTTCGTTGCCAGCAGTTTGCTTGTGACACTCCTGGCCGCACACCTTGTTTTTCGCTACGGCACTGCTGAGTTCAAGAAGTTGGCGTCGCGGCGGTACCTCATCTGCATCCTAAACGGCATCATCGTAGCCTCAAAGCATACACTTCAGGCCTTGGCTGTTTCCAGGATGAACTCATCGATTTTTTTCATTGTCATGCGCTTTGCATTGCTTTGGATGGCCATCTTTGACGCGATTTATTCCCTCAAGCTGCCCGGACTCAAGGCCATTGGCATCGTTGCGGTAATACTATTCTCCGTCAGCATCACTTCTGACTCTTTAACCTCTCACGAAGAGGGCATTGAGGTGACCACGGAAGGAGTCTTGTTGGCGCTGGGCTGTGCTTTGGCAGATGCCGGCTCCGACATCGCCTCTGATGTGATTGGGTCAAGCTTCACTACTGGGCTCCAGGGCAAGGCTCGTAATTGTGAGCTGAATCGGTATTTGTTGATGCAACAAGCTTGCAGCATACCTTGTTACTTACTGGCTGCTGCATCCATTGGAGATCTCCCGATCCTTTTCCGGGGCTTTGATGCCACTGTCTTCCTTCTGGCATCATTGCCCCTGGTTCTAAAGATCCCCGTGTTTCAGTTTGCTATATTCACTACCGGTGCAGTGAAGACGAACATGGCCGTATCCTTCGAGATGGGAGTTTCCTATGTCTTCGAGGTCTGTTTCGGTTTGGCGAGATTCAACGTGAGCCGATTTTTCGCAATGATGGCCTTTGCATGTGTCCTTCTGATGGATTCGCTACATGCTTCACACCTGGATGATGCAGCAGCTGCGCAGCACAGGACGACCTTGCAAAAGGTCCGACGAGAAATAGAGAGATCTTGTGACCCAACCTCATTGGTCCGAGACGGCAGTGGGGACGGGAAGTGACAACTTGGATTGGGAATGTATGCTTACGAGACCGATCTAAGCTAAAGAAGACCGCAGCAGAAGGTCTGTGAGCGAGAGACTAGGAGTTTCACAGCCAGACCTCGAATCAGGCAGACTCTCAAAACATCTCCGCCGCTGGAGTTGGGCGCCTGCTCAGTCGCAGTCGTAGTCGAAGTCGCAGTCGTACTACTATTGGGGATTCTGTTGCCATGTCAGGTTGGCTGAAAGACTGGGCCGTCGCCTCCTGGGATGGGAGGACCTTCAACTTGTGAGGAAGGGGGAAGGCGAAGAAAGATGTGGCTCGAAGTCAGCAAATATTGCCCCGAACACCCACCAGAGATTCAAAACGTGTGGAACATCGGCAAAGAAAAGTCGCAACACCATGGAGTCCGTTGATGTGGGAAACTGGAAGATGGAGAAAGACGGTGGGACTGCAGGAGCTGGGCGATGGAGAAAGAGTCACTGCCTGGATCCACTAGGGCGAATATAATTCGAAGCAAGCGGCGACGGCAGGCTGGGAATGTTTAGTGTCTGTGAAACTGATCGTACTTCTCCCAAATCTGACAGTCTTGTGTGTTGTGTGTTCCGATCCAGAGGGAAGTGTTCAGGCAAGCTGTGAAGCATGACAAGCTGTGACCGCTGCAGGGCCCTTGAGTCGAGCAAAAGAAGCACTTGCCCGTGCTGAGAGTTAGCTACGTCTTGCATGGTAGCGGAGCTGCTGGTGACGACCAGTGGCTCCGAGGCTGTGCTTTCTCTCCGGGGGGACGCCCCCAGACGTCAAGGCGACCTCGCCTCAGATTACACGATTCGGGTCCCCGAGGAGATTTTCCTTTCTGAACTTTGTGAGCAGCGAGCTCTTTTACAACCTTGTTTACTTGGTTCCTCAGGAACCGACGGAGAGCAGTAGGCCCTCTGACCTGCCTCGGTGGACCGAGGTTTTGCAACGAGGTGGCCTTCTTAGACGTGGGGGCATACCTTGAAGTTTTGGACTGTCTGCAGCTGGCAGACCTGTTTTCCCTGCAGCGTGAGGAGAGAAGTTTTGCGAGCCCAAGTACGACATGTCGGCGAGTGCGGCAGCTGAGCCGGAACAAGCCAGGAGAACGGCCCGGCCCGATGGATCGCCCATCCGGCCCCGGTCACCATCTGGTGCAACGACCCCTCCGTATGGGGATGGCCTGGACGGCTCAGGAGGAGCGGCCAAGCGCTATGCCGACTTCAGAATGGAAGCTGCGCCCCGCTGGGATGGAGAACGACCTGAGAGCCAGTACCGGGAGTACGCCCGGAACCTCAGAATGTGGCTGGTGGAGGCTTTGGAGAGGCTGCCACCAACCTTGGTGGGGAAACGAATTGTTGATTCGATTCCCTATGGAAGCCGCCTGTCTGCAAGCCTGTCCCATCTAACGGTGGAACAGATAACGGCTCCAGATGGCTACAAGGAGATCATTCGGCTGATTGAGGAGCAACATGAGTACCTCAAGGTGGCCAAGCTGGAGCAGGCCTTCTCCGAGGCGATCTTCCGAGGGCGGCGCCGACAAGGCCAGACTACAAGTGGTTTCTTGGCCACGAAGAAGGCGAGCTTTGCCGAGTTGAAGAAGCAGGGGCTGGACTTATTGGCCACCGAGGCAGGAGAGCACCTGCTCGGACACTTGGTGCTGCGACAAGGCGGATTTTCTGCGGACCAGCAGCAGAGGATCAGGGTGCTCACGGATGGAAGTATTCAGTTCAAGCGGATTGAAGAAGCGATCCGGAAGATCTTTGGAGATGCCGTGGATGAGGCACCGCCTGGACGAGTTTACTGGGGCGAGGGAGATGAGGATCCAGATGGCTACTTCGAGGACGGTCCCTACGACCAGAGCGGCGGCGCCTACTACCAGGATGAAGCTGAACATGGCACCGGGAGCGAAGCCTTTTATGGGCAAGGCGCGGAGGAGGATGTGTTTGCAGATCTGCTGGAGATGGATGACTCCGGCGAGGTGTATGTTTGCTTGCAGGAGCCCTTGCCACAGATGTTGGACGAAGCTGAGGCAGTGGAGTATGCCGGCGAGTTGATGAACTACGTCTTTGGAGAAACGGCCGAGCGATGGGCTTCGAAGGGCAAGGGAAAGGGCAAGCGTCCAAAGGGCAAAGGCAAAGGAAAGGGCAAGGACTACCCGGCTACCAAGGAAGGCGGCAAGAACACCAAGGGCTTCGGCGTCTACGGCACTGGAACATATGCTGACCATCGACGAGCTCTGCAAGAAGCCCGGACGAGCCGCGGGTTTAGTGGTCCTCGGGGCGAGTACCAGAAGCCCCGAACTTCCCTGCAGGACCTGAAGAACCGCAGCCCGTGTCACCAGTGTCATCAGATTGGGCACTGGAGCAGGGACTGTCCCCAACGTCGTCGTGCCCCGTCCTTGGCGAGCTCGAGGCCCAATCCTCCAGGACCGAGTACAGGACAGCGAGGCCCTGCCGGACCTTCGGCAAACATGTTCTTTATGAGCGAGCCCGGGTCTCCCATGGAGCAGGACCTAGGCATGTTCTGGTCCCAGGAGCTGGGCCCTGGACCGCAGGTCTTTGCTACGTTTGTTGATGAGATGCTGCCAGAGGCGGTTTGTCAATCTGACCTCGAGACCTGTTCCGCTGCGAGTGCATACATGAGTGAAGCCATAGGTGAGAGTAGTGCTCTGCTCGACACGGCCGCGCAGCACGGGTTAATCGGGGAGGAGACGTTGCACAAGCACGACCAAATCCTTCAACGGGAGTTCCAACTGCGGGTCCAGGTGACGAACGAGGATGGGGGAGTTGTGCGTGGGGTGTGTGGCGCGGAACAGATCACCAAAATCGCGTACATCCCAATCGGCTTGGGGTCCAAGGCTGGGGTTCTCAAAGTGCAGGTGGTCCCCGGAAACGTCCCATGCCTCCTGCCCGCGTACCTCCTTACCAAGCTCGGTGCAGTCATTGACATGTGCAATTTGCTGGTTGTGTACACGGAAGCAAACACGTTCCAGTTCATGAAGCGTCGCTTGAGTGGTCATGTCGAGGTCAATATCTGTGAGTTTGGGAAGCGATGGTGTGTACCCGAAACATATACCTTTCTCAAGAGTGAAGTTTGGGATCAGGGACCGCTCCCGACACCCCTTTCTGACCTCCGCGTGACTGTCGTGAATGGATCGGGTCAAACTCTCCCCATGCCTTCGTCGATGGCGTCGCTTTGCTCTGCGATTGTGGTTTTCCTTCTACAATCAGGCCAGCAACATGCTGGAGCAGGTGCTTTCGCAACCTCGACATCGAGGACTCCGGCGACTTGCTGCCCAACGGGAAGCTCTCGAGCAACGAGCTCTTCGTCTGCAACAACAAGAGGCAGCACTATTGGCACAGGCTGGAAGCCAGCCGTTCCGCCCAGTCAACCGATTGGCTACGGTGGACGATGGCTCGGAACTACGTCCAAGAGCAGAACATGTGGGACGGAGCAAGTATTTGACTCCGGTCCTCAAAGCCAGTGCCACCTGCCAGCGCCTGACCAGGAAGCATGGGGCCAACGCCGAATGGAGCTGGAGTCGATGCACGACATGCGGGGAGATCGAGCAAATTCCGAAGATGGAGATATCCAGGATGAGCGAGTGGAACTCCATCATGATCTACCGTCGACCCGACTACAAGACGCCACTTGCCAAGAAGGCAGAGAAGGCCGAGAAAGCCGAACAGAAGAAGGTGCCAGGAACTCCGGGACTACCACCCTCTATGGCGACGAGCTCGATGGTGCCAACACTGCCTCTCCGGAACCTGAACCGGATGGCATTAGTCAGTGGACCCGAGCACCTGGAGATTGGAACACCAGATTCGGCGGCCTACCCCAATTCGGAACGAGAGCCCGAGTCGGACCACGAGAACATGGAGAAGGCTCTGTGGCAAATGGAGGTGGACGGCCTTGGTGCGCAGGAGGTGGAGCCCCCTGCCATGTGGCAGCCGTGCACCATGTGCCCCAACGGGGGCCTGAACCTCATGTACTACAACCAGCAGGCAAGGTTCATCTGGAGATGCTCCGGGGGAACTCAAGGATGCCCACTGGCCTGGATGGGACACCCCGAGATGGAATTGGCTCTGGGCATCAAGCTATGTGTGGGATGTCAACAGGAGGCCCTCGAGACGACGGTCATCCGAGGACGTTTGACACATCGGTGCCCTCGCTGCCACGACACGACCCTCGCTTCGGAGTGGACGGAGGTGATCAAGGCACACTTCCAGGCGGGTGGCTACAACCCCGAGGTGACGCACAGGCGGACCCCTCGACAATGAGTTCGTTTAAGTGGATCGGATGGGCGTCCGAACCCGCCACAGCACAGATCTTGGACCAGGTCCCAGGGCTGCGTGACTTGATGGACTACAACCGTACGATTGCGTACTGGTGCACTGGGTCCTCGGTGCACGCAACAACAACTACCAGGGCTGCAAGCCCACTCGGAACGCGGGTAATTGCTGCCGAGGCCGGGAAGGAACGATGGAACATCCTTGACATCAACCGGTTTCCAAGCACACCATATGAACTACAAGTGGTGATGACTACGTTGGTGGTGCAGGAGTTGGAACAAGATTTCATCGACTATGTCAAGGAGAACGACTATGACCCGGTGGAGGTGACAATGGACAAGAATGTGAAGAAAGACCTGGCTCAGGCCCTGGACAGGACTCTGGGAAAGATGGAGCAGTACTATGAGTTGTGTGAAGACGGGCTCGATGATGACGAGCCGGAGTCCTGGATTATCCCTGGTGGTTTTGAGGGTCCTCTGAGGACTTTGGATGTGCCGGAAAGCCAGGGGAAATACATTCCAAGTGAGGTGGAGCTGAACTGGGTTGTCAATGAAGTGGAGGAGCTGAAGATGAATGAGAACTGGCGCGAGTACTACGGGCAGGTGATGTTCATTACTCGGTCACCTTCCCAGGCAATAATTCCATGTGTTGGCCCCGGACACCGAACGATGCGATGGACAGCCGGACGTGCTCCAGGGAGCAATTGGAGATGGCTGGAGTCCGGGACGACTGGAAGGCTACATGTGGAAGCCCGGGACATGGAAGTCTTGGTGGTTCTTTACCGGTGGCCCGTCCTCAACAACCCGACTTCCATCGACGATTCAAGCAAGAACGTGGTGTACGTGACGACCGAGGAGATCACTCCTCGTGAAAAGGCAGAAGTACTTCGAGCACATGTGAACTTGGGCCACCCGAACAATCGGGAATTTGTGCGCCTACTTCGAGCAGCCGGAACCAGGGACAGCGTTGTCCAGTATGTGTTGCGAGAGTTCAGCTGTGCTGGGTGCTCCAAAGAAAGGCGGCCCCCGACACGTCTTCCCTCGGCGACGCCACGCACTTACGACTTTAACATTGTTGTTGGGGTGGACATTCTGTTTGTCTCCGGGATCTCCGACAAGGCAGAACATCCGGTTATCAACATAACGTGCCTTGGAACGTTGTACTCGACCTTTGGTCTCATCGACAGCAGGAGGAGGAACTCAGCTCTGACTTGGAGCTGTTTCAACCGGCTCTGGTTACGAGTCTTTGGGGCTCCTCAGTGCGTGTTGTTCGATGAGGGGAAGGAGTTCACTGGAGGCCCGTTTCAGGATGGTCTGGAGATGCATGGCATTCAGCCGGTAGAGATCAACCGGAAATCACCGTTCGAGCTTGGCACGGTGGAAAGACGTGGGGCTATGTTCAAGGAGGCCTACTACAAGACACGTGAACTACGACAACCTCAAGACTTGGAAGAAGTGGAAGCTCTTATCTTCGAGACTTCGTGGGCTATCCAGACACTCACCAATCGGTCTGGTTACAGCCCAGCTCAACGTGTGTTTGGGCGACAGCCTTCCCTGACCCTAGACATGTTGACGGATGGTCGCGAGTACGCTTTGAGCACAATTTCCGAGGCTGCGTGGGAACGAGCCAATGAGATGAGGCAGGCAGCCCGGAAGGCATTGATGAGCCTTGATGCCAAGGGCCGGTTGTCAAGGGCAAGGCTTGCGAGGCCCCGCCAGGAGCTTCAACGACTGGAGTTCGACGAAGGTGAGCCAGTCTTGGTTTGGCGTGCTGGCAAGCGTGGTGCTCTAGCCAAGGTTGGACCATGCTACGTGGTGCTCCAACGGGGACACACAGTGTGGGTGTCGCGCCGTGGTGAGCTGTGGAAGTGTAACGCAGGACAAGTGTTCAAGTTGAGCACGGCAGACAAGGCAGGCCTGGAGGCCATCCCCGAGGACTTACTTCGCGCCAAGGCCAGACTTCGCTATGACTCCGAGAAGCTTCAGTATGTTGATGCGAGTCAAGAGGTGGATGTGGGGTCCGAGGGACCCTCTGGTGGACGTGATGATGGTGACAGTGCAGCAGATTCTGAACAGCGTCCAGAACCCACAGAAGTTTCAGTCTCAGGTCCATCTTCGTTATATAGTCCAGACTTGACAGAGTCTGAACAGCTTCCAGAACCCGCAGAAGTTTCAGTCTCAGGTCCCGTGGTCGATACAGTTGATGTGTCTAGCCAGTCACAGGGGGGGTCTTTGACGTCACGGTCAGCTAGATCACAGGCGTCTGATGCAAGCAGTAAGACCTCAAGCTCTTCGTCAAGCAGCACAAGTTCAAGTTCAAGTACACCGGCAGCCAAAGCTGAGTGGCCGCCGTCAGGTGATGGGACACAGCTGCGCAAGTGGGTCAGGTATGATTCAAATGCCAAACGGTTCAGGACGTCAAACTCCCAGGGACCAATGTGGTCAGATGTGGTCCAGCGAGTGACCATCGACAACAACACCAATAAGATCATCAAGAAGGAGACGATCACTGGTCGAGAACTACCTCGCAATCTTCACAAGCCTCTTCCCGACCATGTGAAGTCGATCAAGACGATCTTGGTGTACAAGAGACGGCAGGGACATCCGGACCCTGGCGTGGACATGTCAGACACCGAGCACCCTGAACAAGAGGGAGCTCCACATGAAGACGCCCGACTCTTCGACCACCGGATGAAGCGTGGATTTGAGGAGGTGAGCGGCGGAGCTTCCGGGAGTAACATCCCGCAGAGATCAAAGATCTTTGGCTCATGGACGGCTGATTTGAAGACTGCCAGCTGTGACCGATCACAGCACCCGGTGATTGCAACGAGCCGTGACCGCAAGCTCTTCGAGAAGATCCTGTTTGCCGATATGGTGTTCCTTGAAAGCGAGATTTATGGGAACTTCGTGGGGCTCACCAAGAAAAGCGGAAAGGAACTCTCGGAGCGCAACTTCACACCGGAGGAGGTGGCCATGTTCGACGCCGCCAAGGTGACGGAAATCACCAACCTCGAAGGTGGGAATGCCATTGAGTTTGTCCCCACGAAGGAGGAGGCGGACCGCATTCGAGCCGAGGAGGGTGACCGCATCATTCCGTCAAGGTTCATCCTCACGAAGAAGGCTGGTGAATTGGGCCAGGCCTGGAAAGCTAAGGCGCGGTGGATTTTGTTGGGACATCGTGACCCAGACGCTCTAGAGATGGAGCGATTCTCGCCAACACCTGCCACTCCAACGGTGATGTTGGCCCTCCAGATCATCGCCTCCATGAAGTACGCCCTGGTCATTATGGACGTGACCTCAGCCTTTGGGCAGTCAGATCCCGAGACCCGTCCTCAAGGTCGATTATACGCGTCGCTACCGACAAGCGGCATCCCTGGGAAACCAAAGTGGGCACTGATTCGTGTGCTCACTGCGGTCTATGGACTGGTGAATGCACCGGCCAGCTGGCGCCGCACCGTAAGGCGGGTGTTGCTGGAGTTGGGGTACCAGGAAAGCGTCTTCGACCCCTATCTTTATTACCTCGAGTTTAACAAGGCAGAGATCGACGGCGGAGCTCATCGTGGCTGCGCCGGGATCGTCCTTTTGGACGTAGACGATTTCGTGCAAGGAGGAGGAGACAGGCATCAATCATTGATGCAGCGTCTGAAGGACCGCTTCAAGTTCGGCAAATGGAGGTCCATTCATGGTGGCTACGGGGAATACCTTGGCAGAACTGTCCGGCAACTGCCAAACCATGAAATACGTGTGGACATGCAGCGGTATATCGCTGAAAAGCTTCGTCCTGTGATGCTCTCCAAACAACGACTACAAGATGGGGACGATGCTGAGCTGAACGAGAAAGAGGTCAGCATGTTGCGCGGAGCAGCAGGATCGCTGCTATGGGTCGGTCGCGAGTGCCGACCTGATGTGGCTGCTGCATGTGCCATGTCGATGTCATGGGGTTCCCAAAAGCCAAAGATTCGACACGTCAAGATAGCCAACAAGGTGATCAGCGAACTACAACGAACCCCTGAGGCCTACATCCGATTGTTGCCCATCGAGCTGGACCATGGAATATGGATGAGCGTGTCAGACGCTTCCTTGGCCAATGATGATGAAAAGTCTCAAGGTGGATTCATTATTGCCTTCGCTGACCGCGAGATTCTGGAGGGAAAGCTGGCCAGGACCAGCTTGATATGCTGGAAGAGCCACAAGCTCAGGCGAGTGGTGAAGGCCTCACTGGGTTCAGAGGCTTTGGCCATGGACGATGGACTTTCCGAGCTGGAGTGGCTGAGGGCAATGTTTGCTGAGCTTTGCGTGCCAGAGGCCAAAGTGATGGACATGAGCCGCTATGGCAATGATGAGTCGGTGGTAGCAGTCCGCCAACCAGACTACCAGGACGAGACCATCCTCGTCACAGACGCCAGGGCTCTCTACGACTTGTACCAACGAAGGAGTGGTGCAGCAGGCTTGGACCGACGAGCCCAAATTGACGTCGCGGTTCTGGTTACCTCGGCAAAGATCCTGAATGCCACGATCTTTTGGATTCCCGGCTCTTACATGCTGGCCGACAGCACAACCAAAAGGTTGGGGAACAGCCACTTGACCCGTCGTGTCATGAAACTTGGACGGTACGGGCTACAGAAAGAAGCTTTACAACAGCTTTTATGTACAGATTTGGACCAACCCTCTGGTGGATGTGAAACTGATCGTACTTCTCCCAAATCTGACAGTCTTGTGTGTTGTGTGTTCCGATCCAGAGGGAAGTGTTCAGGCAAGCTGTGAAGCATGACAAGCTGTGACCGCTGCAGGGCCCTTGAGTCGAGCAAAAGAAGCACTTGCCCGTGCTGAGAGTTAGCTTCGTTTTGCAGTGTCAACGGGTCGAAGTGGAAGCACTGGCCAATGCGATGCTGACGCCTGCTCTTGTGCAGCATGTCAGGCGTCAGGCCTTCAAAGCGTACCCGCCTCAGCTAGGTCGAGCGAGATGAAGGGGTTGAGTTGAGTCATCATGTGCTGATCTTGTCTGAGGAGCCCCATGAACATGTGCACAGCTCACATGGTCGGCAGATCAGTCGACTAAGGAACGTCTGGCAACCTCCGAGGGCTTTTCCAAAGCTCTTTGGTTGTTGGAGTTGGCTCGGGGCCTGGACTTTCCTGGCAGGTTCTATCTTGCACATGCCCAGGTTCTCGTGAGAGGACCTGTGCTCCTGGGACGAGGTACTATATACTTTCGGGCGCACGTAGCCCTGGTATCAAAGCCACAGCTCAAGACTCACAGAGCAGGACTCCTGCAGCTTTTGCTTCGTTGCAGGCCGTCAACACTCAGGTGGACATGGAGAAGCCGGGGTGCACTCGCCAACGTGGCGCCCAAGAGCACCTGGCCGAGCTCGCGCGGTGGAAAAAGCAGTTACAATCCAAAGTGCACGAATGCCGTTGACACCGTCGTCACGTGAGTAGCAAACGGCTGACATGCCAACAGTTGGCAAAAGCTGGACAACCATGCATCCGGCAGACACCTTGAACCCAGTGCCAGCGCCATGACAGCTGCAAGACGGAGTGAATTTCGAATGGCGCAAGGTCCGCGGAAGTTGCGCGAAAAAGTTCACAAAGAGCATCACATGTTCGTGCAGACAAGCAGCCCAAGTCAGAACCGCTCGACGCACGGGCACCGCCATGAGCTCACAGACCAGGGCTTAGATGGCCAACGCCCCGGCTCAAGTGCATGCTGCCGCCAGCGTTCCATGCATGTTTGCCGTGCCGTCCGAGGTCGCTGACACCCGGCATGTTAACGAAGCCGTCAAGTGGGCGAAGATGGGCAGGACCTTGTCCTTAGCGTTTCTTGCATCGCAGCCCAATCGTCGGTGTAAACTTGGGCCGTACGCGAGGATCCGTGGTCGCCGGGCTCTTATGCAGAAGCACTGGACCTGGCGCCTCTTTGTGCTTCGTCAGGTCCTGTGCTCCTGCAGGTGTGGGCATTCCTATAGGTGCATGTGTAAGAGCGTCCATCATCGCCCTCAGCTTTTGTGCAGGCTTGCAGAAGCGCAGTCGCCGGGAGCTCAGGGGATTTTTCTACTCCCAGGCCCTTTGAACTTCTTCAGCTCTGAGGCCGGGTGGATCCCTTCCCGCAGAGTGCCCCTTGGGCTTGGAAATGCTCTGTGCCAAGCAGAAGTCGACGGGGGAGGCTCTCTCGGTCGCCAGGTCTGGAGTTCGCCACGTGCTCGCGTGCACAGGGTGCAGCTGCGGCCTCGGGTGCTTCGAATTCTCCGCTTCTAATTTTCGGGTGTTCCTCGGAGGATTGGCAAGGCTTCAGCCGACAGGTGTGCCAGGCCAGGCTGCAAAAGGCAGTGACATGTCATAGCAGTGATGAGCGGCAGAGCAGGCGGCGGAGCTCGAGCAGTCCATGCAGCACCAGGCCTGCCAAGGGCTCCAATCTCTCCGCCTCGCCGGGCTTGTCCGAGTCCCGCACAAGGCGGCTATGGAGATCTACCACGCGCTGATGGAAAGTCACGCCTTGGATGCCGGCATTGCTTTGCAATGCCGTCATGCCCCCACGATTTTCCACACCCCTGCAAAATTTACCTCAAGAAAGCTATGTGAGGCATGGGTGCTGCCACTGTTTTCTACAGACAGGGACGGCTCTACCTCCATCTAGGCAGCTGCTTTGCTACGTTTCTGGCGGCTGCCCACGGTGCATGGCCATGGCAGAGGCTATCCCCAGCGGGCTTCCAACTTGTTCCAACTTGCCGGAGACCGAGGGCTCCCTCTGCGGAAGGGCTGCCTTTCTCTGCGGAAACCCCTTGCGTCCCCGTTTTTGAGCCCGTCTGAGGCGATGAGCATGTTCTGGGATGCTTCTCGGGCCGAGAATGGAATGGCCTGCCTTCAGTACGAGATGTGGGGCATCAGGCCAGATGTGACGGCATGGCCATTCCGAGTCGCAGAGTTGTTTGGACAAGGTGGTTCGACGATTTCATGGAGACCTACTTGAGAAATGCCGCGAATCTCCGGCGAAACGATTTGAGCATGCTGCCGTCGCTCAGCTGAGACGTTGCCTTCAGAGCCTAGCACGACACTGCTTCCCAAGTCTGCATCACCCTTGAGCACAGACCTTGGCAAGGCACTTGTCAGACCTCCAGGTGCCGAATGGCTTTGTGCGACGCACCCGTTGCGGTGTGCGGAATCCTTTCTTCTCTTTGAAGGTGCCTCCGAACTATCGTGACCCCTCCCTTCGCATCGCGGTCTTTTCCTTGTGCGACTACGCGCCGGAGTCCCCGATGCATTGGCTGCCGGAGTCCAAGTTTGCACCCGTGCTTCTGGATGCGGCTGGTCGGCTCAACGCGGAAAACCCGCTGTTGTTCGTCGTACTTCGAGGCTTGGTCGCTCCCGGCAGAACCGGGAAGCCTATTGCTCAAGGCACGGATACGGCCTGGCGCGGCCCTGAGCTGAGCCTGAGCCCTCTCCAAGCCTCAGCCTGCCCCAGCCTAAAAAGGAGTGGACCTCGCAGAGACCAGCGTCTTCGAAGGAGCCCTCGGTGTCGCAGAAGTCGCAGAAGCGCTCTGCTCCCTCCGGCTGGCCAGGGCCGGCACCCAGTCTGGGGGCAGATCGCCGGGCCGCTGGAGCTGCAAGAGGCCCAGTGTTAGACCTGGGCCCCAAAAGAAGCCTCCCAGAAAGCTCTGTGTTATAGTTTTTTGGGACGTGTTCTGAGGTTGGGTGACGGCAGGTACGCCCGGAACCCGACATTCCACTTTCGGGACGCATCTGATTGCCTATGAGACATTGTGAGAGCGAATGCCGCGGCTCAGTGGCCAAGGACTGGGTCCTGTCCATGGACTGCGACTCCCTCTTCACGGACATGACTGCCTTTTGGCCTCAGAGCCTTTGGCCTTTCCAGAAATTTCTTAGAGCCTTTTGTTGCGCGGTGGTTTTTGCGGCGCCGTGGTGAGGTCACCGTGGACTCTTTGCTCTACCGTTTTGCCTCGCGAGCGACTCCATGGGGCAAGTTGGAGATCGACCCCCTTGTGCACTTCCTCATCTCCGAGGAGGGAACCTAAAACTGGTTCCCTTTTTCCGTCGCTGCCTTGTCAGGACGGCCGCGGCTTGGCTGGTGGCCTGGAGTCAATGGAAGCAGGGCAAACGCCAGCTGCTCAGCCTTGCTCCGCAGGCGGGAACTGGATTGTCCGAAACTCGCGTGAAGGCCCGGAGAAAAAGCCAGGCATCCTCTTCCCTCTGCTCTGTTTTGGCGTTTTGGCTTTGGTGGCCAGGGCGAGCCTTCCTAAGCGAGATCTTTGGGCCCGACGATGAGAGTCAGAACCCATACATGAGGCCAGGGCGAGAGAAGAAATCTGCGATGTCGCTCTGCTTTGCCCTGGTCTGCCGTGGGCCCAAGGCACGACCTGCGCGATCAGTTTTCCCTGCTTTGGCACCTGGCCTCCACCTCGGCCATCCCAGCAGGCGTCCTGAGATCCTTTCGTGTTCCTAGGACTTTACTTTCACACATGGGTGTCAGATTTGTAGGGTCTTGTCGGTGCCCGAACTTAGTCCAGCACCTTCGGTGCAGCAGCAACCCCAGCATCACTTGCGACTCCAACCAGTCACGCATTCGGGTTTAGGATTCAAAGCCTACAGAACCACAAATCCGAAACCACTCTCTCGATTTTATGTTGACTTTGAACTGGGCCTGACTTGCTCGGACTCAGGTGCGGCCTGGTGTTTCGGTGCCAATGCCGCAGGAAGAAGCCGTGTCTATGCCCGGAGCCCACTCTGAAGACCCCAGACTTGAAGTTTAAAAAGGGAGGGTTCAGAACACAGCGAGTAGCTTATTTCGGGTCTCTAGCTATTGTTTGACAGTAGGCTTGAACTTTGAGAAACCCAGGGTCCCCTTTTTTTGGTGAAACTCCCAGAGGCCCCAGGCTCCCAAGAGCTGGAGTGCAATCGGCTACCGGGAGCTGGCTCGGCTGGTTCCGCAGGCCAGGCCCCACAGGTGACGACTCGTCACGTGTTCTTTTGTCTCCTCTTCTCTGCGCCTTCTCCCAAAGCTCTTGAGCCAGGATCTGCTTCTGGGCCCCCTGGCCTCGAGCTTCGATGCGTAGAAAGGACCTTCTCTTCGCGAGTCGAAATCCGAGGCTCCTACCCCTACGTGAGCTGCTCTCAGCCTGGTGTGCCTTTCCCAGAAGTTTAGCGGAAGGGCGCATGTCCTGTCTCTGTCTCTGTGTGTGTGTGTGTGCGTTCTCGGTGATTCCGGCCAGGATCAGGCACATCGCTGCTTCGGTGAAGGTCCCAAAGACAAGGACTTCATCGTCTCTGTGCCGCTGCCGCGCCCTCGAGCCTGCAGCCTGTCGTGCTGCGGGGACTTGGTTCGGACGCAGTGCGCTGGCCACATCCAAAGTTCGCCCCCGCTTTGGAGGTTGGGCGCGCTGCCCGCTCAGCTTGCACAAGTGCTTCTGGACCGTTTCCTCTTGGAGAGCTTGGGATCTTTCGGACAGCCGGTCGCTTTGATGCACGGAAACTGACGCCTTCTTGCTTTCCACGAGCTGGGAGCGACTTGCAAGTGCCAGGCATACGAGCAGGAGCTGCGTGGCATGTGCGCTTCCGTGGATGTCTCGCGCTGCTTGGCCCGTGACCCAAGACGTTCTGGCCGGTCACTAAGTCTCAGCCCGATACGAGTCACTCCTGAAAACCTCAGGTCGGGGAGTCTGGGAGCCTTGCAGCGCGGTGAAAACGGCGGCATTGGAGTGTGTGCCTAGGCCGAGCCAGTGTCGTTTGCACGATCTTGCAGCTTGCATTAAGCCAGTAAGCTTGCAGAACCTTCCCTGTTCTTGGGCTCCACCTCCACCAGCGCGGAGTGAGTGTAACGGGGCCACGATGATGTACGCAAAGCGTCCGGCCTTCTCGTTAACGAATGGCAGAAGCCGCAAGGGAAAGGAGGGTTACAAGGAGGGCAAAGACAAAGCGACCAAGCTAGAGAAGGAGATCAAACCACAGGTGAGAAGTAAGTCTCTCGCCGAGCTACTTGAGGCAGAAGAGAACGGCCAGGGCAACAAGCTGGAAGAGGCGCTGCTGGCGGTTTTCCGACTCATCGATGCTGACAGTGGCGGCTCCATCTCGAAGCTTGAGTTCATTGGAGCTGTCTACAGGCATGCTTTGGTTGCCTCCTTCGTTTTGCAAGGTCATGGCTTGTCCCCTGAACTGCAGAACGACCCTAGTGGTCAAGTGGCCATCAACGAGCAGAGCTTTGATGCTGTCGACGATGTCTTCGACAGCATGTCTGGGGGAAGTGCTCGGGTCAAATACCCCGAGTTTGCAGCCTACTTCCGCAGATTAGCAAATGTCTGTCTAGCGGCACAGACAGAGGAGAAAGGCATGAAAGAGGTCTTTGGCTCGCTTGATGCTGATGCCAACGGCTCTTTTTCAAAGCTCGACATGGTAGCAGCGATGCAGAGCAGCACGCGCGCGGCCTCCTACTTGCTCCCGGGTCTTGATACCCGAAAGGTCTTGGAGGATGAGCGCAGCTACGATGCAGTTTGCTCGCTGTTCGATCACATGGCTGCTGGAAGGCAATGTGTGCAATGGCAGGATTTCAAGACGTTCTGCCTGCACACGCGCTTCCAGAAGGCTTGGGATTCCAGCCCTTCGACTACGTGCTCCAGCCCCCTGAGCCCTTCCAGCCCGGAATCCTCGGACGAGAGATCCAGCTCAAAAGTCCTGATTATAGCGCCCGGCTTCGGAAGGGAGCGACATCCCCAACAAGCTGCCCTGCTGGCGAACGCAGGCTTTCAGATGCACTGGTGCAGGGACCTGCCCGAGTATGCAGACGAAGGTGCCAGGCTCAGCTACCATGCTGTGGCCCCCTACTTGAACAAAATCCGCGATGAGATAGTGAACGTACAGCCCCGTGTGGTGATAGCAGCGTCACAGGGCGGAGCATATCTGGTCGGCTTATGGCAACTCGGCTACTGGAACGGTCCCTCCGTGATGCTGAACGCGCATCCCAGCCTGCCGATGCGGCTGCCGGCGGCGGCATCCATCGTTTTAGCACACGGATCCAACGATGAGGCCTATTTGTGGAACCGCGGTGATCTCGAGGAGCTGATGACGACGGGGCCGGCGAACCGGTGCCTTTTGTACTACACTGCGAACAGTGGCTACTTGGCTTCCGGGTCCCTGACCCGACTCGGGGATCGGCACGTGATGGGTTCCATCCTACAGAACAATACCCTCCCGAGACTTGTCGATGCGGCTTTGAGTTTCATGGGCCCCGAGCTTCATTTGATCGAGAGTTGGAGGAACCAGCTTTCCGAGAGCCGCCTGGAGGCCCAGCATTGGCTCGGCTACTCCTTGGAGCGGCTACGGCGCTTGTGGGCTTCGCCGGGGCGCTTGGGAAGGGAAACCTCCGCCCTCTTCCCGGTCTCTCCGAAGTCCGAGGAGTTTCGGAGAGTCCAAGCCATCTTCCGGGCTGCGCCTGTGGAGCCTCCGGCCTACATGCTCTCCTCGCAAGCAAGCTGGGAGCGTCTTCCCATCCACAGGATAGAGAGGGTGGAAAACGGAGGACAGATGGAGTGCAGCACCATCCCTTATAGGGACGGTTTGAGGAACTCCCTGCGGGAGCAGGGGGTAGACTTTGATCCTTCCATCCATGCTTGTTGGGCTTTTCATGGTGCCGACCAAGAGTCGCTCCTGTCTATCATCAGAGATCCAGTCTCCGGCTTTCAGCCCTTGATTTCCGGGAGCCGCAACTCCCCGGTCTGGGGCTCCGGCACCTACTTCGCCAGGGACGCCAAGTACGTGGCAGACGGACAGTTCTGCCCGCGACAAAGGGATGGCTCCAGATGTATGCTGCTTTGCCTGGTGATGCTCGGCATGCCGTGCCTCGGGGATCCGAACCAGAAGGAGCTTCTCCAGCTTGCATGAGACTTCTTTCTCTGAGTGAGAGTGCGGCAGAAAGGGAGAGAGAGAGAGAGAGAGAGAATTGGGAAACAACGTTTTGGGCTCTGTTTCCACGAAGACCTGTTGCCAACCTGGCTTCGACAATGTATGCTGGCAACTCGTTCGCCTTTGCCTTCCGCGACCTCACTTGACAACTGTGAACTCGTGAGTCAACGTGGAGATGTGTTTCCTTGCTCGGGGATTACTATGTATTGGTGCAGTCGTCATATTTCTCTTTCTTATCCTAGCAAGCAAATTAATTAGTCGGGGGAAGCGTATGTTCATGAGAGTGTACACTCGTCAGACAGAGCGAGAGAGAGAGAGAGAGAGAGAGAGAGAGTCGGCTACGACGCCTACTACCACTAGTACCGTACTACTACCACTGCCACAATCGCTGCCACAGTCACTGCCTCTACTACCACTACCACAACCACACTAATATCCCCAGCACCACCACCACTACCACTACCACGACCCCCACCACCACGACTGCTGCTGCTGCTGCTNNTGCTACTCCTACTACTGCTACTGCTACTACTACTACTACTACTACCACTACTACTACTGCTACTGCTACTACTGCTGCTGCTGCTGCGACGACGACGACGACTGCTACTACTGCCACGACTACTACTGCCACTACTGCTGCTGCTGCTGCTGCTGCTGCTGCTGTTTCATTCATTCCAATTTCAGCCGGTTGCTCAGCTTAGTGTTCAGGCAGTGGCAGTGCTTTGCACCGGTGCTTCGCGAGCACAAAATCCACTGTCCACGTGGGCAAGTGCCGCCACGAATAGCTGCAAACTTGCAACCCTCAACTAGTCAAGAGAGTGCCAACCCGGCAACTCGATGAGCGGGTGCATCCATAAACAATTGGAGTGATGTCAAGCTAACCTTATAGCATGACACGAACACTGCTTTGGACAGGTGGCCCAAAGGGGGACACTGGCTGAGTGGCCGTGGCGGCACACTGATTCAAAAACTGTACATTGTGTGCCCTGCACTGGATTACGGGTCGCTCCCCTGCCTCTTACCCTGGCGAAAGAAAAGCAGGGAGGAAGCACGAGGGTTGCTGTAGCCTACAATATTTCAGTTACGGGTTCTGTCTGCTTCTGTTTTGGTGCCAGCCTCAGCTTGCATTGCAAGTGCATGACATGACGGCGATCCAGTGCGAAACATGTTGTGGGGCGGGCGCGCTTAAAGCCTCGCGGGTGTAACACATTACTCGAGCGTGGGGAAAGAAGGCAGAAGGCAAGAGAGAGACCTCAAACCAATTTGAAGCCGCAAGAAGGAAACTGCACGGACGGGACGGAGGAGGGAGGGAGGCCCCGGTTCCGTTGCTCGCAGGGCGTGCTCCCCTTCCGGCAGAAGCCTCATCGGTACAACTCGGCGGTGGACTCCCTTTCGAGCCCAGAGGTCTACGTCACACAGATGGTGGGTGCCGCCCATCCGGCCTATCTCATCACCTTCGCATGAGCTCAGCATAGCGCTCAGACACAGCCACAGAGGCCGGCTTAGACTCAGCCGACTGTATGCCTTAGCTGGCCATTGTAGATATATATAACGTGACTGCGGCGGCGGGCACCTGTTGCCCAGCTGCCGACAGCCACTGGAATGGTCACAGGATGCAAGTGCGGCATTTTTCATTTACTGACATAGGAGTCCCCAGAGAGGAATCGCAAGATCCGATGAGAGCTAGTCATCAGCTCAAGGCTAGTAGCACTCTAGGGTTCCTCTTGGGTCTCTCGCACAGCGAAACTTCGAGATTTTTGCGGCCACTCGTCCACCGAAGGGTGGCGGCTTCCACCTGAGAGGCTTGAGGTGGCACGCACCTGGGGATCTAGGGCCGAAACCCAAAGCCCAAAGCCCGGTAAGCCATGAACTTCTCAAAGACTCAAACCCCCATCAAGCAGGGCTCTCGTGACTCCTCCGTGTCATGCAAGGAGGCTTCTCACCTCTGCCGCGACCCGATCCAAGATCCGTGTCGCTGGCAGACAGTAGGGAGGTTCTCGAAAGCCCGGAGCGCACACAAGTCCATCTACCGATCAGGATCAGTTTCGAGAACCTGCACGTAGGTTAGCTGACAGCACCAAAGGATTCAATCACAGCGCCAAGAAATAAGACCGTGATCTCAGATGCGATGAGGTTATTTGCATTGCAACCGAGTTGTGCAAGCTTGCGGAGATTGATCTGTCTCAGCAGCTGATGCTCCAGAGACTGATCACATGAATCTCGACGATCTCGCCGACTGCAACTTGGGAATGTCAGAGAACTTGCACGATTTATCTATTTTTTCTAGGTATCGAAAAGATTGAAAGCATGTCAAATAAGTTAGTCATACATGTATCTCACAGAATAAAAATAAACGCATTCAAACTTCACGGTGAAGTATACCGATTATACGGACTCACGAATGACGTAAAAGGCAAGAATACCGCCAGAGAGATCGATGAAGTATTCCTCAATTATCGAGATACCACTTGCTATGCAGATTGATAATCTCTAATAAAACGATGTCGTGCTGGTCGCGTTCGTTTTTATAGGTGCACCCCTGGTCCCCTGGATCCTTTGACGCGTTTCTTTTTGAAAGCCTTTTGGCTGTCTCGCGGTATTACAATTCTAGAAATATTAGTGCCGCGAGCCTTTGCTCCCGATACTAAAATTTCAGATATTATGGTAATGTTAGGAAATCTCGCGGTAATATTTTTTGTTGAATTTTATTAATTCGAGGGAGATAGGCTCTCGGCTATGTAATTTTCGGTATTTTTGATACGTGTATTCGTCATTAGAAAATATTAGTATTTTTGGTCGGGTAATGGTTATTATAATTTTTTAAGTTTAGAATAATATAGAAAATCCATATTTTTTTTATCTATTCGAAGTATATTTTTATTTTATATAATTTTAGTGTGATATTTTTATAATTAAAAAAATCTATAAACTTATTCTAATATTGTATTATCTATTTTCTCGTGTTTCTAAATGTTATTTTATATTTATTTAAGAATAATATGCTTATTTTTAATTTATCTAGGTATCTCTATAAAAAAGAATCTTGGAGATGATAGATTTTGAAGTAATTAAAAGATATTTGGATTCTTTTATTATTATCTTATACTTAAGAGTTTAAATAACTTTTTTAATTAATATATATTTGAAGATATAGAAAGAATAAAGATATTATTAAAAATATTTTATCGATAGATTTATGGCTGCTGTTTTATTTGAGAATATTTGGATTCGTTATTTTTATTTTGCCGCTAGAATATTCGGATTTAGTAGTTTTATTTTGCACGAAGATATCCGATTTCGATACTTCTGTAAGGATTCTATCTCTGAATAGATTATCTTAATTATTTCTATTTTTATTTGACGATTGATATATAAACTTATATGATACAAAAAAAAAGGATTTTTGATATTGAAAGAAAGAGCTAAAAGATAAAAAGAGAGATTAATTGATCTTTCATTGATTTTGAATTTATTTAGATCTTTCAAAGAAAAGCAATATTCTTTAAATCTATTTTATAGTGTGCAAATTAAAAGTTCTGATAATTTGATAATTTATTGAAATTATATATGAGAAGGTCGATAGAATTTTATGCTGATTTTATTAATATATATCTTTTGATTATAAATTAAGAATATATTTCAAAATATAGAGATTATATTATATTAAAGAAAAATCTCGTAGATATCATGAGATAAATCTAGATTTGAGGTCCGCTAGAATTTGCATAAATTTTCTCAGAGGAAAATTATTCGATTCTAGAATTTTCTCAAATGATCCTCATGAGTATTGGGACTTTTGAAGCTATGCAATTTCGTGGCGTGTCCAAAGTGGCGACACTCGATTTCGGTCTGTGCAGCGCCCAACTGCTGATCTTCAACCCTAAATCCTTTCATATCTATATACCTAAACCCTAAGCAACCCCACCACCCACACCATAGAGAAGGCGGGGGCGCAAACCCTAAGCCCGAAACTCAACCCACTCCACCACACGGGAAGGCATTAAACGCTAAATCTAAAACCCACAACCCACCCCCGGGGGGAGAGGAGGGGGAGGGCCGGGGGGTTAAATAACCCAAGGGGGTGTTACCCACATAAACAACTCACCATCCGCGCCACAGAGAGAGGGGGGGAGGAAACACAAAAGGGTCGGTAAGGGGGGGGTAACCATGCAGGGGGGGGGAAGAGATTGGTCGGGCGACGCTACACCATATATAGAATCATGATTCAATTCTATTCGATTAAATATATTGAAATTTATCATATTTTTTATATTGATATTCAATAAGAATATATATATAAGTGAATTTAGGATCTTATTTATCTAAAATTCTATCTTCTTCGGGAATCAAGATATAGAAAAATATATAATATGAGAAATTCTTATTTTAATTTTCATAGAGAATAAAAATCTAGATTATAGATAAAAATAACGAATTTAGAAAGATCCGCAAAAATATCTCCAAAATCTGGGCTATCTTAGGTCTTATGACAAGAATTATATTTCTCTAATCATAAATTTATAATAGGATCTATGTGTCGCCTGGACACATCCTATTCATAAGTCCTATCTATCCCTATTATAGATCTTGTCTCTAGATCCAGATTTTGCCATAAATCTTATGCATCCCTAATCTCTATCTTCTAATATTATACGGGGACCTGTCAGAGTTGGGTATAATTACGGTCGTTCCATTTAGATAGCTTCAACGAAGACCTGTCAAATCTGCTTTAATCCTTTCAGATAGATAGGCAGTCTGGTTTGTAGATTTAATAAAAAAATGATACCGATTTCAGATAGTCACTTCCAGACCGAGTTGTAGACAGACCGTCGCAGCTGAGACAAGACCGACAATTGGCATTCAGGGAGGCTCATCCTAAATTTTCAATTATTTTCCTAACTTCCCCAAATTCAGAATAGATTTTAAATCATAGGGATGATAGATCCAATGAATTTATATTATTATGGATAATTAATACAAAAGAGAAACGATTATCATAGAAATTAGGCCTTAAATCCTTGCCGCCCCTATTATAAGCGCTATACCGAGACCCTATCCATTCCTATCATATCAGACCTCGTCCATAAGCCTTCGTAGGCCTTGTCCGTGACCCCTGTCCGTCCTATCATAGGTCTTATCCATAAATCTTGTCAATCCGCCGTCATCCGTATCCATTGTTATCACAAGCCCTATCCGTTCGCCCTGCCCGTGGGATAAGAGGAATTCTTGAATATCTTCCTCCCCCCGGCGCGAGCCAGATCAGCTGGCGGCTTGAACTCCCCCCAAAAAAATTTGACGGATTTCGGACCTGTCATCCAATATTTTCGAGGGCAGATAAGGCAAGTACAATCGATAATAACAAGATTTTAAGATTTAAGGAGGTTGAAGCTTGAATTTAAGGGATTAAGATTTAGTGCCGAGGTTAGGATTTTAAGGGATCTTTTGGATTCTAAATTCTTGAGCTTAGGTATCTTAAATTGTAGCTTTGAAATCTTAAATCGAATAAGATTCGAGAGAAGAAATTTCAGAGGCGTCCAGATAAGAAAAGATCGAAATAAAATTCAATATATAATCCGATTTTCGCAGATCAATCGTATTTTATTATTGTTTCTATTTAGTTAGTAAAGAACTAGGGCGAAGATTTCAAAGAGAAAGATTCATTCAATTTAAATTTCAATCTGAAATGATTTAATTCCTCGATTTAGATTATAAAATCCTATTTCCAAGAAATAAAAATCAAGAATATAATCTTAAATCCAAATATCAATCTCAAATCTTGATATCCTAAATGCCGCCTTCATCCTCCCTAAATCTTAGAATCTTAATCTTATCGATTTTCCAGAAATGAGAAACAATTCGGAAATCCCCCAGATTTATTTGAAGGAATCAAATCGCCAGCTGACCTGTCATTAAGCAAGAATTCTCATTAATCATAGTCCCGGAAGGATCGGACCTACGATAGAAGAGAATAAGATCTATTTATAATATGAGAGGATAGCGCCGATAGATAAAATCAATGGTAGCGACCGATGAGATCCGACAATATCGGCGAGATAAATAGGCTCTAAATAAGAGCCTATTTAAGGATATAATAGATTTAGATAATATCTAAAGATAAAAGCGAAAATAATATAGACAAGACCTCGAATATAATAAAATATAGGATGAGGCCTCGGGAGAAAAAAAAAATATATATATAATCCATGATAAAATAAATAAGATCTATAATAAAATCTATAAGAACATTATATTATCGAAAGAAAAATTTCATAAATAAATATTTCTTTTTTCTCAGATAATTTAGAAATATATTCATGAATTTTTCTAATTCTCAAAATATGAAATTGAAATTTATGCACAATAAAAGTATTATAATAAATCAAGAAAAATGAAAAATATCATATATTCGAGAATAATTCAAAAAATATTTCATAAGATTTTAATTTTCAAACAAAAAATATATT